CTGTCACTCTCACTATGGGTCTGTCACTCTCACAATGGGTCTGTCACTCTCACTATGGGGTCTGTCACTCTCACTATGGGTCTGTCACTCTCACTATGGGTCTGTCACTCTCACTATGGGTTTGTCACTCACTATAGGTCTGTCACTCACTATGGGGTCTGTCACTCTCACTATGGATCTGTCACTCTCACTATGGGTCTGTCACTCTCACTATGGGTCTGTCACTCTCACTATGGGTCTGTCACTCTCACTATGGGTCTCTTGTCACTCACTATGGGTCTGTCACTCTCACTATGGGGTCTGTCACTCTCACTATGGGTCTGTCACTCTCACTATGGGTCTGTCACTCTCACTATGGGTCTGTCACTCTCACTATGGGTCTGTCACTCTCACTATGGGTCTGTCACTCTCACTATGGGTCTGTCACTCTCACTATGGGTCTGTCACTCTCACTATGGGTCTGTCACTCTCACTATGGGTCTGTCACTCTCACTATGGGTCTGTCACTCTCACTATGGGTCTGTCACTCTCACTATGGGTCTGTCACTCTCACTATGGGTCTGTCTCACTCACTATGGGTCTGTCACTCTCACTATGGGTCTGTCACTCTCACTATGGGTCTGTCACTCTCACTATGGGTCTGTCACTCTCACTATGGGTCTGTCACTCTCACTATGGGTCTCTTGTCACTCTCGCTATGGGTCTGTCACTCTCACTATGGGTCTCTTGTCACTCTCACTATGGGTCTCTTGTCACTCTCACTATGGGTCTGTCACTCTCACTATGGGTCTGTCACTCTCACTATGGGTCTGTCACTCTCACTATGGGTCTGTCACTCTCACTATGGGTCTGTCACTCTCACTATGGGTCTGTCACTCTCACTATGGGGTCTCTTGACACTCACTATGGGGTCTGTCACTCTCACTATGGGTCTGTCACTCTCACTATGGGTCTGTCACTCACTATGGGTCTGTCACTCTCACTATGGGTCTGTCACTCTCACTATGGGTCTCTTGTCACTCTCACTATGGGTCTGTCACTCTCACTATGGGGTCTCTTGTCACTCTCACTATGGGGTCTGTCACTCTCACTATGGGTCTGTCACTCTCACTTTGGGTCTGTCACTCACTATGGGTCTGTCACTCTCACTATGGGTCTGTCACTCTCACTATGGGTCTCTTGTCACTCTCACTATGGGGTCTGTCACTCTCACTATGGGTCTGTCACTCTCACTATGGGTCTCTGTCACTCACTATGGGTCTGTCACTCTCACTATGGGTCTCTGTCACTCACTATGGGTCTGTCACTCTCACTATGGGTCTGTCACTCACTATGGGTCTGTCACTCTCACTATGGGTCTCTTGTCACTCACTATGGGGTCTGTCACTCTCACTATGGGTCTGTCACTCTCACTATGGGTCTCTGTCACTCACTATGGGTCTGTCACTCTCACTATGGGTCTCTGTCACTCACTATGGGTCTGTCACTCTCACTATGGGTCTCTGTCACTCACTATGGGTCTGTCACTCACTATGGGTCTGTCACTCTCACTATGGGTCTGTCACTCTCACTATGGGTCTCTTGTCACTCTCACTATGGGGTCTGTCACTCTCACTATGGGTCTGTCACTCTCACTATGGGTCTCTGTCACTCACTATGGGTCTGTCACTCTCACTATGGGTCTCTGTCACTCACTATGGGTCTGTCACTCTCACTATGGGTCTGTCACTCACTATGGGTCTGTCACTCTCACTATGGGTCTCTTGTCACTCTCACTATGGGGTCTGTCACTCTCACTATGGGTCTGTCACTCTCACTATGGGTCTCTGTCACTCACTATGGGTCTGTCACTCTCACTATGGGTCTCTGTCACTCACTATGGGTCTGTCACTCTCACTATGGGTCTCTGTCACTCACTATGGGTCTGTCACTCTCACTATGGGTCTCTGTCACTCACTATGGGTTTGTCACTCTCACTATGGGTCTGTCACTCTCACTATGGGGTCTGTCACTCTCACTATGGGTCTCTTGTCACTCTCACTATGGGTCTGTCACTCTCACTATGGGGTCTGTCACTCACTATGGGTCTGTCACTCTCACTATGGGTCTCTGTCACTCACTATGGGTCTGTCACTCTCACTATGGGTCTCTGTCTCTCACTATGGGTCTGTCACTCTCACTATGGGTCTCTGTCACTCACTATGGGTCTGTCACTCTCACTATGGGTCTCTGTCACTCACTATGGGTCTGTCACTCTCACTATGGGTCTCTGTCACTCACTATGGGTCTGTCACTCTCACTATGGGTCTCTGGAAAAGGCTCCACTATTTGTACTTAAATTATTTGCTTCGCAGTTCTCGTCTTATGTTCTTTTTCCTTCCTTCTTTAGTAGGCAACATTTCTTATTTGTTCTTCTTTATTTTCAACTCGGCCCTTTTTTCCCTTGTAATATATTTTCATTAATTCTGAATACATGGCTCTCTCTCTCTCTCTCTCTCTCTCTCTCTCTCTCTCTCTCTCTCTCTCTCTCTCTCTCTCTCTCTCTCTCTCTCTCTCTCTCTCTCTCTCTCTCTCTCTCTCTCTCTCTCTCTCTCTCTGTCTGTCTGTCTGTCTGCCCACATGCACTTTCTGTCTCGAAGACGTCCTCCGTCTCGTTATGTTTTCTTGCTAAAGGTTTCTGAAGTTGTCTTGACATGTGACGTGTTTGTTGATATCTCAGCTGTGTTTTATAGTTTTATTTGACGGGAAAACCAGTATATGTGTGTGTACTCACCTAGTTGTGCTTGCGAGGGTTGAGCTTTGGCTCTAGTCTCGCCTCTCAACCGTCAATCAACTGATGTACAGGTTCCTGAGCCTATTGGGCTCTATCATATCTACACTTGAAACTGTGTATGGAGTCAGGCTCCACCACATCACTTCCTAATGCATTCCATTTGTCAACCACTCTGACACTAAAAAAGTTCTTTCTAATATCTCTGTGGCTCATTTGGGCACTCAGTTTCCACCTGTGTCCCCTTGTGCGTGTGCCCCTTGTGTTAAATAGCCTGTCTTTATCTACCCTATCAATTCGTTTGAGAATCTTATATGTGATGATCATGTCCCCCATAACTCTTCTGTCTTCCAACGACGGGAAGTTTAATTCCAGTAATCTCTCTTCATAGCTCATACCCCTCAGTTCGGGTACTAGTCTGGTGGCAAACCTTTGAACCTTTTTCAGTTTAGTCGTATGCTTGACTCGATATGGACACTCCATGCTGGGGCTGCATACTCCAGGATTGGTCTGACATAGGTGTGTGTGTGTGTGTGTATACTCACCTATTTGTGCTTGCTGGGGTTGAGCTTTGGCTTTTTGGTCCCGCCTTTCAACTGTCAATCAATTGGTGTGCAGTTTCCTGAGCCTACTGGGCTCTATTATATCTACATTTAAAACTGTGTATGTAGTCAGCCTCCACCACATCACTGCCTAATGCATTCCTTCTGTTAACTACTCTGACACTGAAAAAGTTCTTTCTAACGTCCCTGTGGCTCATTTGGGTACTCAGTTTCCATGTGTGTCCCCGTTTTCGCGTACCACCCGTGTTAAACAGTTTATCTTTATCTACCATGTCAATGCCTCTGAGAATTTTGTAGGTAGGATTGGATTTTGTGTGTGTGTGTGTGTGTGTGTGTGTGTGTGTGTGTGTGTGTGTGACTGTTTCCCCTTAGATTTACCTTTATCTTCGGGAGTTGTCAGTTGTGTTGTCACCTAATCACTTTGCACATCACTTTTAGTCTTTAATGATTTGTGCTACCGACAAGTTTTGTATGTCCATGTTATCTCAGGTGATTATATATATATAATATATATATATATATATATATATATATATATATATATATATATATATATATATATATATATATATATATATATTAGTTTTCCTTTCGTTGAGTCCTCCTCTCAGCTTTTACGATTATTTTAGGGTTCTTTCTTCTGTAAACACATTAACGGGACAAACAGGGCTGCCATAACTGGATGACGTCACGCGAGCCCGCTGATTGGACAAGGAGTCGTCGCCAAGCAGTGCTGCCTGTGTATATAGAATCCATACCGAATGTGTATGGAATGTACAAGCTCTGGGCTGTTGCACCCCCAAAAAAGTGTACCTTTTGTAATGCTCATTTAGTAGTGAGCCTGATAAAGGCCGCAACTAAGCCTTACCTTTCCTGTGCGTAGTATTGGAATTTTTCGAGATGTTATATGCATTGGATTCGTCAGGTTAAATGAGTTGTTTTTTCTACCACAGACTGTGGTAGAAAAAGCCTACACATTTAGGATTTGTTGTTCAATGAACCACTGTAGGTTTTTATAGTGCTAATCTAAACACTAATGGGTCTACATACTTAAATACATAAATATACAGACTTACGTCTGTCCTACATAACAAGAGTTCTAGGTATCTTTTACATGAGTTGCTTGGATTCACACGTTACCGGCTAAGGTTAGGCAGATGGATTTGTTTACAGATTGGCAATTCAAGCAAACTGGCTGGCCAGATGTGGACGGGTTGGGTCAGTGCTCTCTCAATTATACCACGTGATGGGGAATGTGAGTATATTGAAGCCCTGCCATGGGATCGAACCCGCGTTCCTGAACTCCTCAGGCACAGCCCCATCGTACAGTTTCAGTATATTCTCATAGATATATCAAGCTCTTAAGATTTAATTGTGTGTTGGAGGATCATACAACATGGTTTGTATAACAGATCATGTTGTATGGTCTGTTATATGGTGTTGTCTCTCTCTCTCTCTCTCTCTCTCTCTCTCTCTCTCTCTCTCTCTCTCTCTCTCTCTCTCTCTCTCTCTCTCTCTCTCTCTCTCTCTCTCTCTCTCTCTCTCTCTCTCTCTCTCTCTCTCTCTCTCTCTCTCTCTCTCTCTCTCTCTCTCTCTCTCTCTCTCTCTCTCTCTCTCTCTCTCTCTCTCTCTCTCTCTCTTATCCACACCAGTGTCCCGGGACCCACCTGATGGGGGGCGTGGACGTAGTGCAGAAGACTGTCGTCCTCTTGAAAGTAGTCTTCTTTCTGCAGCAGGAAAGTGTTGTCTGTGGGAGGAGCAGCAGCAGCAGCGGGGTCACACGGGGTCACGGGAGGTTCCATGGCAGTCATTGATGATAACGGCATGTAAAGGAGAGATAGATTAAATATTAAATTAACAAAAAACTCGAAGAACGGTAAATAAATTCCAGACACTCAAACGCACACGCACATGCACCCACACACACACTCACACACACACCTGGAATATGTGTTGCACACCTGGAGAACGTTAGGTTTGTGAACAAGCATCAACATGAGTTCTGGAAAGGGAAATCGTGCCTAACAAACCTTTTGGAATTCTATGATAAAATAACGAGGATAAGAATGAAAGAGAAGGTTAGATTGCCAGATCTAACCTTCTGGCCAGAAGGTTAGATCAAATAACTAACCAGACATTAGCCAGATAGACTTCAAATATCCAGACTGCATATTTCTGGACTGCCAAAAAGCCTTTGATACAGTATCGCACATGAGACTGCTGTTCAAACTCGAGAGGCAGGCGGGGGTGGGAGGAAAGGCCCTAGCATGGATAAGGAACTACTTAACAGGAAAGTGCCAAGTGCTTTCACTACTTAACAGTGAAAGTGTTACTCTTCTGCCAAAGAGTAACAGAAAGGGGCGAGACGTCAGACTGGCGAGCTGTAACGAGTGGAGTACCTCAAGGATCGGTGCTGGGACCAGTTCTTTTTCTAATATACGTTAATGACATGTTAACAGGAGTAGAGTCCTATATGTCGATGTTCGCGAATGACACGAAGTTAATGAGATTAGTTGTGCCAGATGAGGATTGAAGGATCGTCCAGGAGGACTTGAACAAGTTGCAGAGATGGTCAGGGAAATGGCTACTGGAGTTTAACAAGACCAAGTGTAAAGTTATGGAAATGGGCCTAGGTAATAGGATACCAAAGGGACAGTACACAATGAAGGGAAGTTACCTACCTGAGACGATTCGAGAAAGATACCTGGGAGTAGACGTAATACCATATCTAACTCTTGAGGCACATATAAATAAGATATTGACAGCAACGTGCTCTACGCTTTCAAAAGTTAAAACGTCATTCAGAAACCTAAGTAAGGAGGCACTTAGAGTGCCAGCTTACACTGCCTACGTGAGACTATTCTTTGAGTATGCAGCCTCATCAGTGAGCCCACTCCTGAAGAAGCACATTAGGAAACTGGAAAAGGTTCTGAAATTTCTGACGAGGCTCGTCCCAGAGTTGCGAGGGATGAGATATGAAGAGCGACTGAAGGAACTGAATCTGACGATGCTAGAAAAAAGGAAGGGGCGGGGAGATATGATGGTTACCTTGAGGTGCTTCCGGGGCTTAGCGTCCCCGCGGCCCGGTCGTCGACCAGGCCTCCTTAAAATAGCCTACATATTAGCAATATGTATGCTATTCAATATATATATATATATATATATATATATATATATATATATATATATATATATATATATATATATATATATATATATATATATATATATATATGTATGTATGTATATATATATATATACAACTTTAGAACACTTTCCCATCAGGAGACTCGAACCCTAGCCAGCACAGAAGCCTCACAGCAACTGGAATAGCAGGTACGCCTTTAACCCACTGCACCAAACTCAGACCCTTAAAAAAGATGGTAATTTCGGGGTATTTAAACCCCCCAAAAATCATCACCTCCCAAGGGCAACTAAAGCTAGTGATTTATAATACTTAGGGGGATTGGCAAAGTGGAAATAGACGAAATGTTCACACTGAATACTAACAGAACAACAGGACATGAGTTGAAGCTGAATTCTGAGATGAGTCATAAAGAAGGAAGAGGCCTAACCCTCAAACATACCAGCACTACAAAACAAGCAAGAAACAAATACACAGCAGTGAGAAGAGAGGCAGAAAGAAACTTTGAGAAAGGGAACTGTAGTAGACAAATGTAAAACAGATTCAGTTTTTTCTATAAATTCATTAAAAGCAGTCTACATGTAAAATATAAAATTCAGAGTTTGAGAATGGGGGAACAGGTTCACCGAGAATGAAAAAGAAATGTGTGAAATCTAAATAAACAGTTCTAAAGTGTGTTTGTGCAAACTGAGGTTTTCAGAGAACCAGACACAGTGCCTATTCCACAAAACACTATACAGTACATATAGGTGTCTCAAGACAAATTGGAAAATTTACTCAAGGGGCTAGGAAGAAATAAAGCAGTTGGACCAGATGGAGTTTCACCTTGGGTGCTGAGAGAATGTGCAACTGAGCTGAGCATTCCACTTCAATTGATATTCCAGACATCTTTGTACACAGGAATCTTAGCAGATATATGAAAAAAGGCAAACATAGTTCCAATCTACAAAAATGGTAGCAGAGAAGACCCTCTAAATTATAGACCCGTATCATTAACAAGCGTGGTAGTCAAAACACTAGAAAAAATAGTTAAAACCAAATGGGTAGAACACCTGGAGAGTAATGACATAATAACGAACAGACAGTATGGTTTTCGAACAGGAAGATCCTGTGTAACAAATCTACTTAGTTTTTATGATAGAGCCACAGAGATTCTACAGGAAAGAGATGGTTGGGTTGACTGTGTCTATCTGGACCTAAAAAAAAAGGCTTTTGACAGAGTCCCACACAAGAGGTTGTTTTGGAAACTGGAACATGCTGGAGGGGTGACAGGGAGACTGCTGACATGGATGAAAAATTTTCTGACAGAAAGATGAGGGCAGTAATCAGAGGCAATGTATCTGACTGGAGGAGTGTTACTAGCGGAGTACCACAGGGTTCAGTTCTTGCACCAGTAATGTTCATCGTCTACATAAATGATCTACCAGAAGGAATACAGAATTATATGAACATGTTTGCAGATGATGCTAAGATACTGGGGAAGATAGGAGACCTAGATGATTGTCATGCCCTTCAAATTGACCTAGATAAAATAAGTGCTTGGAGCACCATGTGGCAAATGGAATTCAATGTGAATAAATGCCATGTTATGGAATGTGGAATAGGAGAAAATAGACCACACACAACCTACAAATTATGTGGAAAGGAATTACAGAACTCTAACAAAGAAAGAGATCTAGGGGTGGTTCTGGATAGTAGAATGTCACCAGAGGAACACATAAAGAACATTGTGCGAAGAGCATATGCTGCATTTTCCAACTTCAGAATCGCTTTTAATTACATGGATGGTGAAATACTAAAGAAACTGTTCATGACTTTTTGTAAGACAAAAATTGGGATATCCAGCAGTTGTATGGTGGCCATATCACAAGAAGCACATCAATATACTAGACAAGGTGCAAAGGCGTGCTACAAAATGGCTTTCTAAACTAGAAAACAAGAGTTACGAGGCGAGAGGCGTTAAATGTGCCAAACTAGATGATAGAAGAAAATGAGGTGATATGATCACCATTTAAAAAATAATAACAGGAATCAACCAAATTGACAAAGAAGAATTCCTAAAACCAGCAACTTCAAGAACAAGAGGTCATAGATTCAAACTAATGAAACAAAGTTACTGAAAAAATAGTAGAAAGTTTTCTTGTGCAGAGTGGTAGACGGTTGGAACAAGTTAAGGGAGAAGGTGGTGGAGGCCAAGACCGTCAGTAGTTTCAAAGCGTTATATGACAAAGAGTACTGGGAAGATGGGACACCACAAGCATAGCTCTCATCCTGTAACTACACTTAGGTAATTGAAGGAGAAGACGTGGGCGCGGGTGGCTGTGGCTCCTGCATCAATAACAACAGTGTAGACCGCTTGCCACGCCCATGGTGTCCCTCCGCCCACGCCCACACACGGTGACTCCCCCGGCCTGGGGCTTCCTGCTCCGCGGGCGCCAGAAACAGACAGGTAGAGGTAGATCAATAAATTGAGATGAACTGAGATAAATTGATTGGGAGAGAGAGAGAGAGAGAGAGAGAGAGAGAGAGAGAGAGAGAGAGAGAGAGAGAGAGAGACAGACAGACAGACAGATGGAGAAACACCCAGAAAAAGAATGAGAAAGATAGAAAATAAATGAGAAAGAGAGACAGAGAAAGATGCATTAATAATCAACCACATATATAACACACCCTAAAATTTATTTTCAGAACATTCTAAACAAAATGTTAAAATTATGAACATATACAATAAAACGATTATTCCCGAGCAGAGTAAGTCATGAGGACCTGTGTAAGAACACCAAACAAAACCCCTCACACTCTTCAAAGTGGGAAATTACTTCCTTTAAATGGGAAATGTCAGTGTCTAAGATTCTTATTTTCTTGTTCTAAAGTGTAATATATTTTGTGATGTTGCTGGTAAATGCACAGAATTTTCATTTTTGTATGAATAATGGATCTAGCAATCATTTGCAAGGAAAACCACGAACAATCAAACACATACACACACACACACACACACACACACACACACACACACACACACACACACACACACACACACACACACACACACACACACACCCTGTTGATTGACGGTTGAGAGGCGGGACCAAAGAGCCAGAGCTCAACCCTCGCAAGCACAACTAGGTGAGTACACACACACAGTTTCAAATATAGATGTGATAAGAGCCTAATAGGCTCAGGAATCTGTACACCAGTTGATTGACAGTTAAGAGGCGGGACCAAAGAGCCAGAGCACAACCCCTGCAAACACAACTAGGAGAATACACACACACACACACATGTAAAGTTCGAGTTCAACACGAACAAATGTAAAGTGATGGAAATGGGATCAGGTGATAGGAGACCAAAGGGACAGTACACAATGAAGGGGAACTGCCCGCCTGCGACGATTCGAGAAAGAGACCTGGGAGTGGACATAATACCTAATCTAACTCCCGAGTCACATATAAATAGGATAACGACAGCTGCGTACTCTACACTGGGAAAAGTTAGAACTTCATTCAGAAACCTAAGTGAGGAGGCATTTAGGGCGCTTTACACTGCCTACGTGAGACCAGTCGTAGGAGCAGGTTGTGGAAGCAAATACTATTCATAATTTTATAACTAGATATGGTAGGGAAATGGGACAGGAGTCATTGCTGTAAACAACTGATGGCTAGAAAGGCGGGATTCAAGAGTCAGTGCACGATCCAGCAGGCACAAATAGGTGTGTACACACACACACACACACACACACACACACACACACACACACACACACACACACACACACACACACACACACACACACACACACATGGCCCCTACAAAATCCTCAGGGAATCGACCGGGTAAACAAGGACGAACTTTTCAACACTGGTGGGACGCGAACAAGGGGACACAGGTGGAAGCTGAGTACCCAAATGAGCCACAGAGACGTTAGAAAGAACTTTTCAGTGTCAGAGTAGTTAGCAAATGGAATGCATTAGGAAGTGATGTGGTGGAGGCTGACTCCATTCACAGTTTCAAATGTAGATATGATAGAGCCCAATAGGCTCAGGAATCTGTACACCAGTTGATTGACGGTTGAGAGGCGGGACCAAAGAGCCAGAGCTCAACCCCCGCAAGCACAATTAGGTGAGTACAATTAGGTGAGTACACACACACACAAATTGTAGTCGCAGTCATATATAACCCACCACCAAATGACAGAAGACCCAGACAGGAATATGATAGAAACCACATGGCCACCATTAACATAATAGAGAGAACAGCGTCTCTCGCTAGTAGGAATGGATCAGGACTTCTAATCATGGGGGATTTCAACCACGGGAAGATTGATTGGGAGAACAGGGGACGCATGGAGGACCAGATACATGGAGAGCTAAGCTGCTAGACGCGGCAAGAAGAAACTTTCTAAGCTAGCATATCAAGGGACCGACAAGAATGAGAGGGGAGGATGAACCAGCTATGCTTGATCTGATATTTACCCTTAATGAGTGGGATATGAGGGAGGTTAAGATGGAAGCACCCATGGGAATGAGTGATCACAGTGTATTAATCTTAGAATACTCGGTATAGCTAGGACTTATCTTCCCTAAAAAAGAACTAGAAAACAAAAGGCTGGCATACCGAAAGGGGAATTATGAGGGGATGAGAAATTTCCTAAAGGATATACCATGGGACCTCAGAGCTAAGTCGGTACAAGACATGATGGACTATGTCACCCAAAAGTGTCAGGAGGCAGTAAACAGGTTTATCCCGGCTCAAAGGGAAAAATCTGAGAAGCAAAAGAAGACTCCATGGTTTAACAGGACATGTATGGAAGCAAAGATACTGAACAAAATGGCGTGGAGAAAGCAGAGAGAGATACCAGAGAACCAGGAATGAGTATGTTAGTGTGAGAAGGGAAGCAGAGAAAAATTATGAAAATGATATAGCAAGCAAAGCCAAGGCCGATCCAAAGCTACTCCACAGTCACGTCAGGAGGAAAACAACAGAGAAGGAATAGGTAATGAAACTTAGAACAGGCGAGGACATGAATATAGAGAATGACAAAGAAGTGTACGAGGAACTCAAGAAGAAGTTCCAGGAGGTCTTCACAATAGAACATGGTGAGATCACTGCGCTAGGAGAGGGGCAGTAAACCAGGCGGCCTTGGAAGGGTTCGAAATTACGAGAGATGAGGTCAAGAGACACCTGTTGGATCTGGATGTGAGAAAGGCTGTTGGTCCAGACGGGATCTCACCATGGGTATTGAAAGAGTGTGCAGAGACACTCTGCTTGCCACTCTCCATAGTGTATAGTAGGTCACTGGAGACGGGAGACCTACCAGAAATATGGAAGGCGGCTAATGTGGTCCCAATATACAAAAAGGGTGACAGACAAGAGGCACTGAACTACAGGCCAGTGTCCTTGACTTGTATACCATGCAAAGTGTTGGAGAAGATCGTGAGAAAAAATCTAGTAACACATCTGGAGAGAAGGGACTTCGTGACAAATCGCCAACATGGGTTCAGGGAAGGTAAATCTTGCCTTACTGGCTTAATAGAATTCTACGATCAGGTGACAAAGATTAAGCAAGAAAGAGAAGGCTGGGTGGACTGCATTTTTTTGGACTGTCGGAGAAGCCTTTGATTCAGTCCCCTATAAGAGGTTGAAGAGACAGGCAGGAGTAACTGGTAAAGTGTTCCAGTGGATAAGGGAATACCTAAGCAATAGGAAGCAAAGAGTTACAGTGAGGGGTGAGATCTCAGAATGGCGTGAAGTCACCAGTGGAGTCCCAGAGGGCTCTGTACTCGGTCCTATCCTGTTTTTGATATACGTAAATGATCTCCCAGAGGGTATAGACTCATTCCTCTCAATGTTTGCTGACGATGCCAAAATTATGAAAAGGATTAAGACAGAGGAGGGCTGCTTGAGGCTTCAAGAAGACCTAGACAAACTAAAGGAATGGTCGAACAAATGGTTGTTAAAGTTTAACCCAAGCAAATGTAATGTAATGAAGATAGGTGTAGGGAGCAGGAGGCCAGTTACAAGGTATCATTTGGGAGATGAAATTCTTCAAGAGTTAAAGAAAAGACTTGGGGCTTGATATCACGCCAGACATGTCCCCTGAAGCCCATATCAAGAAGATAACATCAGCAGCACATGCCAGGTTGGCTAACATAAGAACGGCATTTAGACACTTGTGCAAAGAATCATTCAGAACTTTATATACCACCTATGTCAGACCAATCCTGGAGTATGCAGCCCCAGCATGGAGTCCATATCTAGTCAAGCATAAGGCCAAACTGGAAAAAGTTGAAAGGTTTGCCACCAGACTAGTACCCGGGCTGAGAGGTATGAGCTACGAGGATAGACTACGGAAATTAAACCTCACGTCGCTTGAAGACAGAAGAGTTAGGGGGGACATGATCACCACATACAAGATTCTCAAATAAAAAGTGATAGGGTAGATAAGGACAGGCTATTTAACACAAGGGGCACACGCACCAGGGGACACAGGTGGAAATTGTTTGTCCAAATGAGCCACAGAGATATTAGAAAGAACTTTTTTTGTGTCAGAGTGGTTGACAAATGGAATGCATTAGGAAGTGATGTGGTGGAGGCTGACTCCATACACAGTTTCAAATGTAGATATGATAGAGCCCAGTAGGCTCAGGAATCTGTACATCAGTTGATTGACGGTTGAGAGGCGGGACCAAAGAGCCAGAGCTCAACCCCCGCAAGCGCAAATAGGTGAGTACACACACACACACACACACACATGAAAATGCAACATAAAGTTGCTGGTTACATACGCAAATATTCGGACAATCAGGTATGGAAATGTTCAGATGATCAGGTATGGAAATGTTCAGATGATCAGGTATGGAAATGCTGGGACATTATAGAGCTCCATAACTAAGTTTGACTTATCATCTTCACGTTTATTGATGGTAAATTGCTATTTACCGTCAACTTTGCAGTTTACATGCAAAGTTGTTTACAAAGTCAATTGCAAGTTGACCTTAGAAACAACTAAAAGTAACAGTGGAATGGTCCTCCGTCATCTCAAAAACGTATCCACATTCCAAGACATGAAGTGAATGACGCCGGAAATGAATGAAGTGAATGAATGAATCCGGGAAAGTCTCCAGATCTTTGATGAACAAAATTGATGTTCTGAAATGTTCAGGTCTGACACAAGACCTCGGAAGATCCTCTAGTACATCCTTGGTCCCAGACTTATCTTGAAAGGTCCACAAGTACAACTCTGGTCCGAAACTGATCTGGGAAAGTTCACAAGTTTAACGTTGGTTCGAAAGTGGCCAAGAAATGCTCACGAGCATAGCCCTAGTCCGAAACTGACCTAGGAAGGCTTACAAATACATCCCTGGTCCAAAACTGTCCAAGAAAGGTCATCGAGTGCATGTGTGCTCTGAACCTGACGT